CGGACTGAGACTTACTCATAATCATACCTAGTCATATTCAGACTCGCAAGGGGAGCCGCCCAGGGTGTTTTCACTGGCCCGTTCGCGGCCAGTTTGTGGGGATGTCTCAGGCGGTTTGCTCGTTGCCATGCCCGACATCCTTGGCTTTCAGGGCAGATTTTGAGGATGTCTCAGGCGGTGCGCTGGTTTCAGCACCCTTGGGGGGGGCCGTCAGGAGGTGGGGCGCGGGCCCGTTCGCGGCCAGTTTGTGGGAATGTCTCAGGCGGTTTGGTCGTTCTCATGCCCAACATCCTTGGCTTTCAGATGATTCTGAGGATGTCTCAGGCGGGGCGCTGGTTTCAGCACCCCTGAAAAGGAACCGCCAGGAGTGTTTTCACTGGCCTTTTTCGCGGCCAGTTTGTGGGGATGCTTCACGCGGTTTGCTCGTTGTGATGCCCGACATCCATGTCTTCCAAAACAGATGTTGGGGATGTCTCAGGCGGGGCGCTGGTGTCAGCACCCTAAGGGGAGCAGCCAGGGGTGCGTTCACGGGCCCGTTCGCAGCCAGTTTGTGGCTATGTCTCAGGCGGTCTGCTCGTTTTCATGCCCAGCATCCTTGTCATTCAGAGCAGATGCGGAGGCTGTCTCAGGCGGGGCGCTGGTTCCAGCACACCTAAGGGGTGCCGCCGGGGGTGTTTTCACGGGCCCGTTTGCGGCCAGTCTGTGGGGATGTCTCAGGCGGCTTGCTCGTTTTCATGCCAGACATCCTTGGTATCCAGAACAGATGTTGGGGATGTCTCAGGCGGGGCGCTGGTTTCAGCACCCCTGAAAGGAACGCCAGGAGTGTTTTCACGGGCCCGTTCGCGGCCAGTTTGTGGGGGTGTCTCAGCCGGTTTGCTCGTTGCCATGCCCCACATCCTTCGCTTTCAGAGCAGATTTTGAGGATGTCTCAGGCTGGCAGCTGGTTTCAGCACCCCTGGAAGGAGCCGCCAGGGGGTTGGGCACGGGATCGTTCGCGGCCGGTTTGTGGGGATGTCTCCAGGGGGTAGGACGCGGGCCCGTTCGCGACCATTTTGCGGGGTTGTCTCAGGCGGTTTGTTCGATGCCATGCTGCGAGGCAGGAGATGAGGCGTGCTGCCCCCTTGGCTAAACGCTCGTTCTACAGATCCCACTGCCAACTCTCCTAAATCGCATGCACATTACCACATGCTGAGGAGGGCACGGCCTGGCAGCTGAGGAGGGGGAATGAATGGGAGGCCCATATGCAATCATATTCAAAGCTCACTCTGGCTCATACTCACTCATTTGCATTAGGATTCTTTCGTCTTCGTCGGCCCTGTCGCCCATGTGGGCGCGCTATTAAAGTCAAACGCTCATGAACAGACGCTCGCCATGGCATGACATGAAACATGATATGCACATATGGGGAGCTCCACGCAGTGAACAATGATGGCTGCAAGTTCGCCATGGCATTCGCGCAGCTCCCCATGATCACCTCCACCGACGCCTTCGCATAGCACACGGAGCAGCGAACCTTGGAGACCAGCTTGTGTTTCCGTATATTTTTGAATTCTGTTGTCGATGATTTCGCGCTGCAAGTGGCTTGTCAGCTCAAGGACCTGCAGCAACTTTTCGTGGAGAACATCGAGATGCTGTGTGACACATTGCAGGACGTTGGCCTACCCGTGGCCAAGTCACAGGCTATGCTCACGGCGTCCGACGGCGCACCGAGTCAGCGCATTGCACATCGACTTCGAGGTCACGGTTTCCAGGCGCAGTCGTGGCTGGAGGTCTTGGGCCTTGGGGTCGCCACAGGAAAGATTGCCCAATCCTCTGTGCTTCGTCGGCGAGAACGCGAGATGGCGAGACGGGGGCGACATTCTCGGAGGCTTGCGAACTTGGGCCTGAGGTTCAGGAAGATCGCTCGTTCTGCGGTCGGGCCTGCCACCTCCTGCGGTCTCGAGATTCCGGGGGCTCCCTGACTTCCCTTGCGAAGCACGGTTGGGCCTCCATGCCGCGAGGTGGCTCGCGCTGGATCACCTCGCAGCTGGGCGCCAATCCTGCCGGTCATCCCGCTTGCGTTGCCGTGGTTGGACCTGTTCACACTTGGGCCTGCGTGGCTCACGCTGGCGAAGTGCCCCGCCACGCGATGCAGCGAGCCTGGCAGACGCAGTTCCTCAAGGTCACGGCGGCCGGGCGCCGCAACTGGCCACGGGTGATTGGGCCAGCGGGCGCCCTGGCACGCCCCGTGCAGCACCCGGGGTGGATTGGCGCATCGGCCTTTGCAGCGCGCGCGCGTTCGGATGAGATCTTGGACCTGCGGGATACCTCGCCGTCGGTTGCGAAGCGGCTCGCTCTCCCGGTCTACGAGGCGGTGGAGTGGGCAAACTGAACGCAGCGCGGCGACGCCATGCCTGAAGTACCTAGGCCGTCCCACGAGGATCCCGCCAGCGCCTGGCTTGCCCCCCTTCGTGCCACGCTGGCGACAGGGCGAAGACCGAGAAGTGGCGCCTTGACGCCATTGCGCGCTGCTCTTCACACTGCTGATATTGGCGGCCATTCCCCTCGGCATCGCCTGAGCCACTTCGCCAACGTCTCAAGTCAGGACTGCCAGCGGTGTGCGTGGGGCCCCTGGTGCTCGTCACCACCGCTGCTGGTGCTGCCCGATCTTGGACGAACATCGCAAGCTGGCCGTGGACGATGGGGCGCTGTTGGCGGCGGCAGCTGCACCGCCTGGGGACTCGCCCTACACGAGGGGTCTCTACCCGAAGTCCTCCTTGCCTGCCTGCTCGGGGCGATTCGGGCACCTGGCGCTGCGATCGTGGGGCTCGGGCTGAGCAGCCAGTGGTCACGGGCCAGGCGTTCATGGACGGGGCGTTCTGCAGGCTCCCCGGCTGGGACATCGCGGCGCGGGCGGGCTGGGGCTTCGCCCTCGTGGGCGACAGCAGCTTTCGTGGTGCCGCATTCGGTCTTTTGCCAGGGCCACGGCAGACGTCGGCTAGAGCTCAGCTACATGCCATCCTGCAGGCGCTGGCCGCAGGTATAGCCCCGTTCCACATCTACACGGACGACCTTCCTTTGACCGCCCCGCTAGAGAGGCGAGAGGTGGTGCACGGCGGCTATTCGTGACAATGCCGATATTTGGAAGCGGCTGTGACACTACATGGAGGATCATGGCAGCATGGAAATTACTGACGACGGAGGTCATGCGCCCCCCACATTTACCCACGCTCGCGGCCACCAGAAGGACGACACGTGGGAGAGCAGGCGCAACGACCTCGCCGACCAGGCGGCCAAACGCGGGCGCAGGCTCCACGACCTGCCGGGCCGCGCGGTGCAACACCACGGCCGCGCGATGGACCGCGTGCGCCAGACGGCTGCATGGGGCGTGGGCGGCAGCGCGTCCAAACTGCAGCGACGGGCGCCATCGCCGCCGACAGGGTCGAGGTCGCGAGGCGCCGCCCTGCGGAGCTCCGCAGGCGGTGGAGGATGCAGCGCGGGCGACCAGCGGCTGAGGGAGCTGGCCATGACTGCCCCTGTGCGCTGCCTGCGGCCCCTGCGCCGCCGCCCTTCCCTCGCGTTCTCCGCCTCCTCGCTCGAGGAAAACGGAATCGGTGGCAGTGCAAGCGATGTCCTGCGTTCGCCGTTTCCAAGACAAGGGGGCGACAATTTCGATCTCTGATTTGTCCCGTGGCCGAGATGGCGGCCCTGTGGGGCCAAGCCCGTTCGTCGTGGGATGTGCCTGGTGCGGAGCCCGATGCTGGCCCCGCGCCTGGTGCAGCCTCGACCCCTTCCCCGTCTGTCAGTGGCGGCCCCTGTGCGGCCGAGGTCGGCGGTTCTCTGGATTCCGAGCCTGGCGCAGTGCCGCCGCCCTCGCTTCTTGAAGGCCCTGAGCGGCTCACGGCGTTTAAACGGGTGAGGTTTCGCATCGAGGCCGAGCAGGAAGATTTCGACCTCGCGGACGTGTGTTGGCCCTCTGCAAATGCCGCGCGGGTGCACGGTTCTGTGGAGCCCGAGCGTCGCCCCTGCTTTCCGAGCAAGTCTCGGGCCGGGGAGTGGGGGGAGTGTAGCAATCACCACCCACCAAACCACCCCAACCCAACCCGAAGGTTCAGATTTACCCTCGATTTCTAGTTGGGGGGGTCGGGAAACCTCGAAAAAACACGCGTGGAACCCTTCCCCCCCCCCCAACCCGAAAATCGGGTCTTCGGGTTGGGTTGGGGTGGTCTGGTAGGTAGTCAAGCAAGGACGGCAATGTGGCCTCGGGGGGCCCGCGCCTGAGAACGCCGCGGGTTGGTCCACCTGCCGCCCCGCCCAGGCCTGCCAAGAGGCTTCGGAGCCCCGGGGGGGGAACCGCTACCCGAGAGGGACACGGCCTCTGCAGGCCAGCGGCAAGGGGAGTCCCGGGTCGCTCGGGGTGCCGTCCCTGCCGGCCTCCCCCTGCCCCCTCACGGCCCTGTCAGGCCTGCAAGTGGTCGTGGTCCTGCCACTGTCCTGGCTGGCGCCACCCATGCATCCTGCCGCCGTTGTGGGGCCAGGGCTCAGCCGTCGGCCCCGCGGTCCCGTCTGTGGGGAGTCTGCTCGGGCCTTGCATCCAGCGAGGGCACTGCCTATCTTAGAGACCTCGAGACGGGTATAATGACCCGACCTCGGGGGAATGGAGGGGCGAGCCTCGCCCTCTCCACTTTTCTGATGGCGCTTGCTTCTGGCTTCGTCTTCGGTAATTCGCCTGGCTTCGTGCTTCGGCTGCGCTCGCTCGCCTCGCCCCTTGTCGTCTTCGCCTGCCCTTGGCCCGTCTCGGCGCACATGACTTGCAATGGTGGCGCCTCATCCTCATCCTCGTCCTCCTCCTCTCCCTACACATCCCCTTCTCCTCAATCCCTCCTTCGTCTCCCCTTCCTCCCTCCTCGCCCTTCTCCTCCTTCTCTTCATCCCTCCCTCGCTCATCCCATCGCTCCCTTCTCCTCTTCCCTCCTCCCTTCTCTCGGCCCCAGCCAACTCGGTGGGACACCGCCCGCGAGGAGGCCTACCGCGACCCGTCGTGGACCAAAGAACGGCGCGCCCGGGAGAAGGAGGAAGGACTTCAAAGGGTCGAGGCTCGATTTTTGATGGTCTTATCTGTCATGCTCTCTGTATTTGTTGATACCCCGGGAGCTCGTCGCCAAGTCCAGATCTCACTTCAATTCTTGACGAATCGCGTATCCCCACCAGCGTGACACGCCCTCTGGAGTTCTCCTTGCGGGCCGCAAATCAACAAGTATCCCCACCAGCCTATCCAGAAACGATGCCCGGGCGAGTTGCATTGATCAGGGAAGTGTGGAAGCATGCAGTGGAACAGAGATGGGGGCAGCTGCGGCAGCTGTCAAACCGAAGCTCGGGGTCAGCTTGAGCAGATCCAGGAGTCAACCATAAATGTACGTTGGAGCCTTTCTGGAGACCTTGTGGGCTCTCTGGGAGGCCTCCTGGAGCTCTCTTGGAGCGTCTGGGGGGCGGTTCGTGCCGCTTTGAGGCCATCTTGGAGGCCGTCGGTTAATTGCCGCCACTCCTACAGCACACTGCCCGCTTGGCTGCCATGGTAGCGCAAGGTTTTGTTCCCTCTCGTTATCCTTCCCTGCCTTCTCCTCTCCCTCCTGTTTCTTCCTCTCGAGCTGGTGTGCAGACAGGAGAGCCTCCCCCTGCCTCAGACTTTTGGAGTCGGGATCGCAGTTCAGTATTCAGACCCCCAGACGTGCGCGAGGAGGCATGGGGGAGAGGTGGTCGCAGTGCAAGTGGCAAGGGTTCCAGCTCTCGCTTCCCTCGCGCCTGAAGGCCAGCCGCCCTCACAGGGGGCTGCGTGCCTCGGGGGTGTGCTGGCGGGGCCAGTGCAGCAGTGGCTGAGCGTGGACCGCATCTCAGCAGTGAAGATTCGTCGGCTTCGTAGGTTAGGCCTCCCTCGGGGTACAACCTCGGGCGGAGTTGAGTTGTGTCGCAGTGCTCTTGCTCTCAGCCGATGCAGTTTAGCGTTTCGTTCGAATCTGGACCCCCTGAGCTGGAACGGAAAGGAAGGGCCATCGGTTAAGATGATTGATGACGCCGCGCACGACGAAGGGCCACGAAGACGACGACGACGACGACGAAGACGACGACGACGACGACGGAGGGCCACGAAAACGACGATGGAGGGCCACGAAAACGACGACGACGTTGACGACGTTGGCGACGACGACGCCACCGACGACGACGACACCGACGACGACGACGACGACGACGACGACGGCGACGACGACGACGACGACGACGACGACGACGGCGACGACGACGACGACGACGACGACGACAACGGCGACGGCGACGGCGACGGCGACGGCGACGGCGACGACGGGCGGCGACGACGGCGACGGCGACGGCGACGGCGACGGCGACGGCGACGACGGCGACGTCCTGGCAGGTACTCCGCCTACGCGCCCGCGGCGAGCCGCGGGGGCGCGCGCAGAGGCGCTCACCCGCGTGCGCCCGCGCGCTCCGAGGGGCGCCCACCGGGGGCCCCGTGTGAGGCCTGGACCGGCTGCAGTGGACACCCGGATCCTTCGGGAGCCTCGAGACGGGGGTCAGTGCAAACGGGGGTCAGCCAGGGCGCCAGATCCTGCAGGATCCTGCAAAGACCCCCTCTGGCTGACCCGGGTTAGGGAGCCGCTCGTGGCCGCGAGGCGGCCGCGCCTATTGGCTGACCCGGGTTTGCGAAGATCTGCGTTGCAGTTTTTTTTTCTTGCATTGCAGTTTTTGGTTTCCTGCTGACCCGGGTCTGGATTGACCCGGGTCAGAAGATCCCCGAATCCTGATGGAAGGCCGGTTCCGGGGGGGGGGTTCGCCGACTTCGGGGTCTTGGGGGCCTCCCTGCGCCCCGTGGCCGTCAAGGAGCGGCCAGGGATCAAGAGCTGGTCCTGGGGGGGAGCCCCGGGGTCCAGGACCCGCTTCCCTCAGGACCCCTCTCCTTCGTGGCATGAGCTTCTTCCGAGGGCAGTTGGTGCTCCACACGTTGACACGACATGCAACGCGACGGGCAAGACAAGCGCGCCCCTGATATTGCAGAGCTTCCGTGCTGATCAGACCCGACTGTAGGTGGCCAGCGTTCGGCTTTGGAACGTGGCCGCTTTTGGTTTGCGATTCGAACGCGTTTGGGTCTCGTTGGGACATTTCGGCACGGCCTGGTGTCGCTCAAAGACAGCCCCCGAGGGCTTGGTGAGGTCAACCGCCCCGACTTCTGGGGGCCGTCTGTGGCAATTCTAGGCATTGCCAGGCCACTTGCCCGATTAAGACTAGAGCATTTGACTCGGGCAGGGAGTACCGTCCAGTCATCAGGAGACTCTAGGATGGAGAGGCCCTGGAGGTTAGGGGTAGAGAGAGAGCATTAGGAGGATAGTGAGGAGAAGGATGAAACCCAGACCTCCAGGTGCGTCGTGTGTGCCAATATCGTGGGCCGTGATGGGTCTTCTTGGCCATGCAATGTTAGCCAGATCGAATTCCAATGAATAGGTTTGTTTTTTTTCGCTGTCCAATGTATGTGGTGCAATATGTGCATAATCCAGGTGCTGGAAATCGGGCTGCGCAACATTTTCACTGCGTGGAGCTCCCCGTATGTGCATCTATTTGAATGGGCCTGTCCGCCGTGAGTGTCTAGGCGCAACAATTTTTGAATATAAGCGGGCTTGAGTATTGGCAGTCTGGGAGCGTATCTACTTGTGAATGAGCTGGACTGAATGAGTCTCAGTAGTACTAGTGCGTCTCGGCGCATGAGACTGGGGTCTCCTGGGGCCTCCTGAAGCTTTTGGGGCCTCTTGGAACCTCCTGGGGCCTCCTGGTGCCTCTTGAGGCCTCCTGGGGCCTCCTGGGGCCTCCCAGGGCCTCGTGTGGCCTCCTGGGCCTTCCTGGAACCTCCTGGAGCCTTCTGGTGCCTCCTGGAAAGGATTTGTGCCCCAGGAGAGGCCCAATCTAATGGAACAAGTGTAAAACACAGGATTGGAGCCACAGGAGAGGATCAATGTATGGGAACACACGTGCAACACAAAGGCTTCGTGCCCCAGGGCAGGCCCAATGTATAGGAATATGCGTGAATCACATAGGACTGGATACACAAGAAACGGACACACAATATAGCCATGAATAAGAAACCAAGGGTTCGTGCTCCTTTTTTTGCATCGCCTGCGCGGCGCTCGCTGCGAGCACCGTCCATGGTGGAGGCTCGGGCTGATGGCAGCCACTCTTGTTGAACAGCCCGCGAGAAAAATGCAAAGGCACATCCCTCGAGCGTTGCCGCAGCCGAGCATCACGCTCCGCCTGGCCGCCTGCCCGTCTTGGGATCGCGGCCTCGGCGGATGTTCTCGATCTTGAGGCTCCTCAGCCTCAGGGCGTTGCCCGACACCACCTCGCAGGTCTTGCCCAGCGAGCGATGCTTGCCTCTCACCCTCTTGGCGTAGGCTTTGCCTCTGGTGCACACTCTGTAGCGCGAGCCAGCCCAGCTCCCGTCCTCTCTCCTCTGTTTCCTTCTCACTTGACTTACTTGCGGGCAGTCGCTTTTTAGGAGCGAGAGAAAAAAATAAAAAGAACAAAACAAACAAATCTGGTGCACACTCTGTAGCCGCCCAGGCTGATCAGCTGGGGGGGGCCTCCGCCGCTGGCCGCCCTCGGTGCTGCCAGAGCCCGCGGGGCGCACGGGGAGAGTCGACCTGCATCCCGCCGCCGCTGCAGGCGCCAGGCCGTGGCAGGCGCCAGGCCGTGGGCAGCCGCAGGGTGGTCGGCCTGCGTGCTGCCTCGGGCGCCGCGGTCGGTCTGGACGCCCAGGATGCCCTGCGCGGCCGCAGGGGCGCCCTCCTGCGTGCCGCCCGCCCGCTCGCCGCCGTCGGGCGCGGCGGCAGCTGGGCCCTGCGCGGCGACAGAGGGGTCGGTCTGCCTGCCACGCGGTGCTGCAGGGGCGTCGTCCTGCATGCCGCTGGCCTCTGCCTCGAGGCGCCCTGCTGCCGCCAGCGCCACCGCCACAGCACCAGCCGCAGGGAGAGCCGAGGCCGCTGGCCTGCGTCGTGCGCCGCTGACGTCGGCGGCGAAGGGCTTCGGAATGCACGGGCCGCCCAGCAGACGCTTGGCCCCGTGGGCCGTGAACGCCGACCTGAGGCTGACCTTGCAGTGAGCACCTCCGCCCGTCAGTTTGATGGGGTCGTGCCTGGTGATGGACAGCTGTGGCCCCTTGCGCTGCTCGTGAAAGTCCAGATCCACGTCGAGTTTCAAGTCGGCAGCCTCGCAACCAGCCCTGGCCACCCAGAAGACCACCCCGTCCAGCGTGAGCGCACGTCGCTGCCACGCCTGCCTGAGGTCGCTTGGGGCCCGCACCGCATCAGCCACAAACTTCGCGCACCTGTCGGCCTCCTTGTTGCCACGGCGGTCCCTGGCAGAGATAACCCCATCGCGCGCACCCTTCACCGTCGCATGCGCCTTGATCTTCAGGATGGTAAGGCCACCCTCGCCAATGCCGCCGATGTCGTCCAGGGCCTGCCACACCCTCTTCCAGACGCAGCCCCATGCAGCAGTGGCCTTCGTAGTGCCAGCGGGCCCTCTTTCCAGGAGCCCCTTCGCGACGTACGCCGCGTCGAAGGCAACCGTGATCGGGGGGAGGCTGTGCTTGAGGATCGCCAGCAGGCCGAGGAGCTCGGCGCCGTCGATCGACTGCAGCGGTCCTGGCAGCGGCGCCCTCAGCGCTTTGACCGCCAATTTTGGGCCTGGATCCCAATCGGCTCCTCCGAACGGCAGCTCGGCGATGCCGCAGGCCGACGCTGCCAGCGATAGCCCGGCCTCGTAGACCGCACCGTCCGAGCAGAGCGTAGCGCCCGCGAAGGGGAATCCATCGCCGCCCTTGGTCCACTGCGCGCGCGCCAACGTCGTCGCCAGATGGCCGCCACTGGTGCAGTGGCTCTGGCAGCAGAAGTCGCTTTACGAGCGCGCGGGTCATCACGTTGTTGCCGAAGGGGACGAGCTTCGCAATCTCCACAGGCAGAGTGACGGAAGGCCAGCTGCCTTCGCAGCTTGTGTGCCGATGCCAAAGAGTACCAGGCTCGCCAGGGTGTAGTTGGCAGCACGGCGAGCGCGCCAGCCTGGGCGCCTCCACGTAGCGCCTGTCGTTCGGCCACTGGCCGTTCACCACCACTGAGCGAATGTAGCCCCGCTAGTCGTTGTATATCGGCTCCCACTTCCTCGCCTGGTGAGTGCTGCCCTTTCCGTTGCTAACCCAACGCCTGATGTGAGAAACCAATGCGCCGTGAGCAATGTCCTCATGAGTGGTCTCGGCCACTTGCTGAAGCTGCCAGGCCTTCACGTCCGCCGTGGGCACCTGCTTGAAGTACCAGGGCGAGGTCTCCAGCAGGTTAATGACGTCGCCGTTCGGCCTGATGATATGGTCGGGGGCCCTGGGTTCGTAGCCAACCCTGCGGAGCGTCATCGCCGCCGCTCCCATCGGCCCACGATCCTGCGGCCAGGAGCTGACGGCGCCCGCTGCCCAAGCGAACGCGGGCCGCAGTTGGCTCAGGGGCATCCAGCCTTCCCAGATCACCCTTGCTAACGTGAAGCAAGGGGCCAAGGTCGCAGTGAAAATCTGATTTTTAGTCATGGGCCCGCCGATCAGCATGCATGCCGTGAGCGACCTGCCCTGGGGCCCGGGCTCGATCGCGCGGCGCATGATCGCGCGCGCCTGCCGAGGCTCGGGCTGGTTCAGCCCTGCGCAGTTCACGCCGTAGAAGAGGCTCGGCGCCATGCCCGCGGCAGCGATCTTCGCCGCCGCAGCCCTGCCGCGCCGAAGCCCGAGCAGCCGCCGAATCCGAGGGGGGCGAGAGCGATTGTGCGCGATCCTCTGCCTCCTGATGTCGCTGGTGCGCCGTCTGCCCTCGGCGTAGTCCACGCCGAGGTTGCGCGCCTGCCCGGCGCCGATCGCCCCCGTAGCTTTTTCCCGGGTGCGCCTGGAGCTGGGAGCGAAGGTCTTTGCTGCTTGTCAGCACCCTGGACTTCCTGACGACAATCCTTAGCCTTACCTTCGCAAGCCCCTTGCCCGCAGCTTTCGCCGCTTGTCGGAGGAGCATGAAGTATTGAAGTGGGCAGTTTTCAATATGTCCAGGTTTTCCTATTCTTCCGCGCGGGCTACAGGGACGAATGGTCGAGCGCGTTCCGTCGCGCAGGTTCTTTGCGCGATGTGCGCGGTGCATTTCTCGCGCGTCGGAGCGCCCTCGGGGATGCCGAGCTGCATGCTGCGTTGCTCTCGGGGGGTCCTCGAGTCGCAGCTGCCGTGGCGCTGTTTTCGAGGTTGCCCCTTCGAGCGCTGCTCGCGGGCGCAACGCGCGGCGCGCGCTGCGCCCAATCGCGCGGGGCGCGGTGCGTGAATCAGCCGGCCGCGCCCGTCAGACCGCCCGGAAATTCTTTTTGGATTGTAGAGCGTTTCAGGAATCGTTTCCGTTTTTTCG